TGTGCTGGCCACAATTTTAATATTTTTTTCCCCAATGGTCTTCAACTTCCTGTCTCTAGACAAAGTCTCGAAAGAGGAGTTTGGAGAAATTGCCTTGAAATTTCTTCATAGCCAGGAGGTCAGGATGTTTGGCACGTAAAGAAACAAAGAAAATGCAGTTTGTCCAAGAAATTCTGAACTGCTGACTAAAAACCAAGGAATCCAAGTGAAGCCAATCCCTTCCTCTCCAAAGCTTCGTGAGAATCAAGAAGCAGACTTTTAATGGGTTTATTTATTAATTTATTTTTTTCTGACTGTTGCTCTATGTCACGTTTGTGGCTATTATCTTTGTGCTTTAACAAAAACTGTCAGTCCCTTTGCCATATCCCAGCGAGAAACAATCTCTGTATTATAAATCCCCAACAGGGAGACAGGCTGGAGTGTCTGTGCAATTAATGAACTGTTTTCTCCTTAAATCTTGTCTTGCTGTTCTTTCTTTTCCTGCTTTAGTTTTGTTACCTGGAGTAATCCTACTGTTGTCATGACGACTGTGTCTGCTTTTCTCTTGTTTCAAGACAGTCCCCACACTGTATTTTGTCTGCATTCACCTCCGGGGGAAGGCTCTGCAGCCCTTGGACCAGGCTTTGGATGTTACTTAATGAATTCAGTAGTGGTGTTTTTAATTTGGAATTTGATGTTATGTTGATATGTCAGACTGCGTTTCCTGCAGACATTTTTAAAATGGGATTTAGATACAAATATGAAAGTTTGTTTCAGCCATCTTTCACAATTAGGAATTGGATATTGACTTTGATGTTATCGTGACTGGGAAACTTGGGGTGATGATTTATTTGTTGAGAAGTGGCATGGAAAAGCTGGTTTCCATCTTTTATGCTGTAACTCTGGATTTGAGAGATACTCAGTACAATGGCTCATCCATGTCATTTCTTCATTTCGCTGTGATGGGAAAAGGTTTTCTTCTTGCTTTTCCAGGAAAACAGAATATTTACGTCCCAAGGAAGCTGGGATTCCTCTTAACCTTTTGTAAAGCTGTGTCAGCTACCCACAGAAAATGGTTTCCCAAGAACTTTGAACAAGATATTTTTGGATGTGAATACCACTGTTTCCCCTGCCCTCAGCCTCTTCGCTTTTCATGAATTTCCATTTTCCCTTCTTGCATTTGTGTGTGCAATAATGTTTTCACCCTGGGGAGCTTCTCTAAGCCCATGCTAACTTGTGTTTGTTGTGGCTTAAAACTGTCCAGTGATGTATTTTTGTCAATGATAAGCTAAGAAAAAAAATTTTCAAACCAATGAAATTCTTGAGCACCTTTCCACTTACTCCCACTCTTTCTGCAACAGGGACAGATACACAAAATGCTTGATTTCTTCCTCCATCTCCAGTCTGTCTTGTATTTATTTTAAGGCAGAGCAGTGTAATCCCCACTTATAAAACTAAGGCAAACGACAAGCTTTTGGTGGGAGAGAGAGAATGCCAGCATCTGTGGAAGTCACTCAAAGGCAGCCAGACTGCATCACCTGGTTCCACAGGTTGCAGGCTTGAATCAGTCTTCTTTCTTTTTGCTGTCCTGGCTGTCACCTCTTTGAAACCCTGTGGCACTTGGAAATGTGGTCTGTTGACTTCTTGTCTTTCTGTGACTGGAGATCTGCAGTGCAGCCTTTTTTCTGCTGGGCTGGCCAGACTGGTGTAGGATGACTTGTTTCTTCTGAATAACTCTAGGGCTGAATAATCTGCACTTCTCGCTCTCCCCCTAACGGATTTGCTGACTGAACACTGCTGCTGAGTGCTTCAGGACTTGGCAGTATGGGGAGCACTTCGAGAACTTTCTAGCTACTTCTGCCTGTGATTTAAATCTGCCTAATGACATTTTTCAGATGTCCTGGCTAAGCTTTCCTTCCATGGGCTTGTACTGAAACTTTAAAAATGTTGTTTTCTAGTCCTAAGTCAGCATTGCGCTGTCCTGAATCAGCTGGTGTGCTCGGTCCCATGGGCAGCTTCGCTTGCACAGACAGGTTTTGCAAAGGAAGGCAAGCTGAAAACCAGAGAGGAAATTTCTGGCTGTTTCCTCGAGTGAAAAGGTGTGCTGGAGATGCCACGACTGGAATGTGTGATGGCAGTCACGTTGGATCTGTGACAGAGTTAGTGTGGGTCAAGCTTGCTTTTGAGGTGATTATTTCCTCCGCTTTCAGACTGTGAACAGAAGTCCTAGTATACAGGAGGTTTCTTGCTGTACTGGAGCCACAAGACACTCAGGTAAAATAGCAGTCCCTTCAACCCAGGTATTGGTACTGGTGATAATGGTTTGAGGGTCCTTTATATTACCTCGCTGTGCAATTTTATTCCATTTTATTATTTAAACTTGGAGGTGGGTAGTGACAGAAAGGGTCAGAGGTGATGCAGAAGAGCCAGTGGCGAGAGTGAAATTCCCATGAAGGTAAAGAGCAACAACTGGTGAAGCTGGCATAGAGATACGAAACAAAGCTCCTCAGAAATGAGTCGCGTGAGGCAAAACTGATTTTTAAGCTGATCAGAGTGGGTTATTGCTTCCTGGAATGGATTTTGCTTGGAGTCACGGCTGCATACGGGAAACCAGAGGTAAAATCTGATCAGAATGGTGGTGAGAGAAATGTCGGGCAAGTAGATCAGCTGGAGCATGGTTGTATAGTTTAAAATAAATTAGAATAGTGTATGTAGGACATTCAGGAAAACAGAGTAGAGGTAGAGGTGGTCTTGGCCTGAGGAACACCATTTGGCCAATACCTGTGAAAGATATAGTACAGAAAGGCTTCAGGAAAGTAGAGTTAGGACTGAGGTGGTGATCTGTAATTGAAGACTGAATTGGAAGGGGTCTGTATCTAAAGAAGTCCTGTTGAGCCTCTTGTTTGTTTGCTTGCTGTCCTGCAAGCAGCTGTCTTTTCTTAGAAAACGGCAAAGTCGTGAGCTGTTTGCCCAAGGCTTGGATGTTACAGCTTGAGTAGTAGAAGTCCAGTAAAGGAGATGCTGGTGCCACAATTTTGTTGCTGAGAGGGGTGAGGAGATAGTGTTGCTCCTTATAACTTGAGACTGATCCAGCTGATTCTTCCCTGCTAACTTCCTATTGCTGGCAGTAGGAAATATTCCTAAAAACTGTAGTTTACAGATCAAAGAGAGCATAAATGTGTTACATTCTGTTGCACCTTGTGAATATGTTTCACCACAGGCTGTCCGTTGGGCCAGGTAGGGGAATACTGAATGGTAACTGCCTGGGAAGTGAAGAGGCTTGGGGGAGGAGGTAATAAGCTGGAGTCTGTCCCTCTTACTGGTTTGTGTGGGTGTTAGCATAGGCACAACCAGATAGCTGTATTAAGACAAGTTATTTGTTTAACATAAAGCCTGAAAAAATAATTTGGACCTACCTATCCTCTTTACATACATTTTTTCCCGTGCAACCCAACATTCCTGGTCAAAATGAGAATAGTGGCTGTTTTGTTTTTGTTTTTTTTCCCACCCTGTGAACAGTGTTACTTTGCCATTGGGACCCCTCGGTTCATTCCTGGGCCCTCCGAACCGGCGCGGTAGGAAGGGCTGCAGCCTGAGAGGGCAGCGAACCCCTTCGGTTCTGCTCGGTTCTGCGCTGCGGGCAGGCGAACGCCTTCCTCCTCGCGTCCGTCGGCAGAGCCGGGCGCTGTGTGCGGGGCAGTCTGCGCTCCTTCCACCGCCTCTCAGGTG